AGAGGTGAGAAAGCACTTTTTTTTTTTACTGGCTTATTCTTGTATTTCAAGCTCCCAGAGGTCCAATTTAGAAAAATACCTTAAAGTTTGCTAGTTATGTAGCATTATCTTTTCCTGTACAGATGAATTTGTATCTCATTATACCATAAGAGAGAAAGTGTAGGTTTTTTTCAGTCTGTTCTTTAGTAAACCAGTCAACAATGATTAATTATCTAGAATGTGTACAACTCTAGGTGGAATACATAATATTTATCAGATATGGCCCCTGCTTTTGAATTTCTTACATTCTGGTTGGGGGAGATAGAACATTCTTACCCCCACGGTTTGTTATTGTGGCTTAATAGCATGAATCAAGTAGCAAGAAAAGGAGGGGCCCTTGTGGTGGGTGGTAAGACATAGCAGATACTAACACCATCTCCTCTACCTTCAGTTTCTCTTAAAGTCGGTATGACTTCGAAAAAACAAAATGGTTGGTGGATTTGGGTTTCATCTAGTTAGACATGACTGGAAATGCAGATTCTAAGCAAAGGTGGTGAACTTGAGCGTCTGTGACCTTTAAGGGCTAGGGATGGAGGAGTGTTAGGGATGGAGGAGTGTCCATGACGCTGTCAAGAGTGTGAGCCGAATTGTGGTTCTGTTTATTTTCTGTGAAGAGAGGATCTGTAGCTTTTATTTAATTCTCAAAGGAATCCATGACCCAAAAAAGATTAGAACCACTGGTTTAGAGTAACACTGAGACCCGTGGCCTAATTTTGTCTCCCTTTTACTTCACCGATTTAGATTGGGCGCTGTGTTTTGTTTTTCCCCGATATGTCTTAGAAGTCCTTGGTGCAAAGAACCCTACTGTTGAATATCTAAGGGAGGAGTGTGTAAGTTTTTTTGGAAGCTTGGTGTTATGGCTTTTAAGCCTTCATCTAGTGGCTCATTGTGTAGTAAAAAAAATTTTTTTGGCCCGGCCAGGCGTGGCTCAGCTGTTGAGCGTCGACCTAGGATCCAAGCAATCGGGGTTCGATTCCCAGTCAGGGCACATGCCCTGGTTATGGGCTTGATCAATGACCCTCTCATCATTGATGTTTCTATCTCTCTCTCTCCCTCTCCTTTCCTCTCTCTGAAATCAATAAAGATATACTTTAAAAAAAATTTTTTTTTTGTTTGATTTACGTTTATTGTGAAATGATTACCATAATAAGTTTAGCTAACATCCATCTACTCATATAAATACCATAAAAATAAAAGAAAAATGGAAAAAATGTTTCTCCTTGTGATGAAAGCAAAAATGTCTTTATATTTGGCCCTGGCTGGTATGGCTCAAGTTGGTTGAGTGTCGTCCCATGCACTGTCAGGGCACATGCACAGGTTGTGGCTCAATTCCCAGTGGGGGTGTACAGGAGACAGCGATCGATGTTTCTCTCTCCCTCTCCCTTCCTCTTTCTCTCTAAAATCAGTAAAGAAATATATTTTAAAAAGACTTAGTTTTTTTATTTGAAGTCATGATTACCGCTTTCCTCGGTCCAAGTAGCTGAGCAGTGATTATATAAAAATGAAAATGACTAGGTCCTGGCCCTAACTAGGCTTTCTGTGATACACTTGGAAGTGCTCAGAAGAGTAGCTAGTAGTCTTATGGGAACAACTGTCATGTAGTGTCATGACTACAGTCACAGACATCTTTAGTGCCAGTCACATTCATGGAGCTGTTATCTCCTAGGATAACACGGCTTTCTTCTGGACTGCCTCTTGAAGGACCTGACCAAGGCTCTTCTTGACAAGGTGGCCCTCTTTTGAGAACTATGTTCATAGTGATTTGCTTGGTTTTTTGGTTGTGTTTTTTTATCATACATTTGCTTGTAAGCAAATAATGCACCATGAAAAATCCTCTCTACTAACGAAAACCTTTCAGTGTTGGGGTCCATGTTTTCAAAGTTTTTAAGGGGTTTCTGCTTAACTTTCACTGAATTTTCTTGGAGGTTCTTATTTTGCAGTTTCCTCTAGCCTCTTTAGCTATGTGTTCCCATTCCAGTTCCAATACCTCATTAGTCAGTTCCTCAGGAACCACCTCTAAGGGCTTCTCAGCGCCCTTCTCACCCACACCCAGGCTAAAGTTGTTTGGCATCTTCACTGCAGCCTTGTTGAGTTTTGCATCCTCCTCATCCTTGGTGTATCCTTTGAAGTCATGGACTGTGACATCACTAGCGATAGGAATTTTTCAGCTTCCTTATAATCTTATGGAACCACCATCTTATATGTGGTTTGTCATGGACCAAAATGTCATTATGCACTGCATGACTTTGTAAGGTTCTTTTTGCCCTTTGTCCCTCAGCAAGTATTTATTGGACACCCAGAGGGTGTGTAACTCTGGACTGGACCCTTGGACTGGACTGTTTACTTCCTAAGGTCTTTTGATCTCTTCCAGTAATCAATATGGTCACAAGATCCCCTCTGCTGGGAGGCAGTATAAATGGGCTTTGGAAGTCAAAGTGCCAGAGTTCCAAACCCAGTTCTGCCATTTTCCACCTGTATAGCCTTGAATCAGGTCAGTTGACCCCTTTGAGCTTCAGTTTTCTCGTGTGTAAAATGGAGATATAACTATTACCTGCCATACAGGACTTTTGCATTATATTCTGCATATCAACTGCTTTGCAGTGAGCCAGTCACATAATAGGGCCCAGTAAATGGAAGCCATATTGTTACTTGTGGGTGAGGATTATAAATCTTGAGAAATTCCCTCATTTGATTTATTCACTAACGATAATTACTGTCACTCAGAAGAAAGTATTCTAATTATGTGAATGGGGGAAATGGGCACTCCTGGTTAGTGTTAGAAACAGTGGCTGAGTCTTTTGCCTGGGGGGGCGTATTCTTCCATAATTACTACTAGGGCAAAAGTTCTTAATATGGGATTCCTGTTCAGGGCACATGCCCAGATTTCAAGCTCAGTCCCCAGTGGGGGGCATGTGGGAGGCGGCCGATTGATGTTTCTCTCTCTCTCCCTCTTCCTTCCTCTCTAAAAATCAATAAACTATTAAAAAATACTCTATAAGGCAAGGTATATAATAGTACTTTGAGCATTATAAGAACACACACACATTATTGTGGGGAGTATATTATTAAAATTTGCTTCTAGGTAGGTAAGAGATTGTGCCCTCCCCCCTAGTGGAGAGCCCTGCTAAGAGCAAGTGGATTATAGCAATAGTAGCTTCTGTTTGCTCCAGAAGGCTCAGGCTGCACAGCTGTTTGTGTCCATTTTGTCTGTAGCAGTGCAGTGTTGGGGTTAAGGCAGGTGTATAGGCTTCAGAGGCAGGCAGCGAAGGCACGTGAAGCTGGGTGATCTAGAAGGAGTCCCTTGACCTCTTTGCACTTTCTCATCTGTAAATGGGGATTATATAGCACTTGCCATTTTCAGTTATTGTGAAAAATGAAGTGAAATCACTGTGTGTATTGTTATTTGGTACTGTGCCTGGCTCATGAATATCTGTTATTCTGTAAGAGATGACTGAAAAGGAAAGCAACCACATGTGTGTGTGCATGTGTGTGTGTGAAGCCAGTTCTAGGGCATCCTCTGTTCCTTTACTTGCCCCACTGACAATGAGAAGACTACACATTGGCTTGGGACTCCTGCCTTGATTGCCTTTTTATTTTTCTGCTGGCTCCAAGAAGGCCCTCAGTAAGTGTAAAATAAGTGATGAACCTGAAGCCCCTCATTGTGAATTATTAGGAAAAGATGTGATTGTCTATGGTAATTGCGAGATACTTGTGTACTTCATTTTGTTGAGAGTTGATTATGTATGAAACACTCAGTAAATCCCATTTTACCAGACCTTTTCATTTGCGAGTTTCTTTTTTAAAATACTCACCTGAGGATATGTTTCCATTGATTTCTAGGGAGAGAAAGGAGAGAGAGAGAAACATCAATTGGCTGCCCTTCCTTACCCACCCTGTCCAGGGATCAAACCTGCAACCTAGGTATATGCCCTGACCAGGAGGCGAACCTGCAACCTTTTGGTACACAGGACAGAGGTCTAAGCAACTGAGCCACCTGGCCAGGGCTCTCTCTTTTTATTAAATTTTGAGAGAGAGAAAAGCATTGATTAATTGTTTCACTTATTTATATATTCATTGGTTGCTTCTTGTATGTTCTCTAACCCGAATTGAACCCACAACCTTGGGTTCAACCATCGGGACGATGCTGTAACCAACTGAGCTACCTGGCCAAGACTCATTTGCCCAGTTTCTGAAAGAAATGTATTGTGCCTAATATTTGGGCATGGTTTCCTATGGTGAAGTTATTAGAGGTAATATTGGACCTGTTAAAAATGTTCAGGCATTTATCTACTGGGCATGTTGGCAAACGAAATATAAAAATGACAGTAGCTGATGGCCTACTTTCCTTAACCTGGAAATCAGGGAGAGTCAAGCTTCTTTTTGCTCTTGCTGGGGTTTACATCGTCTCCAAGGTTTCCATTTTATGAAACATTTTTTGTTAATGGAAAAGAAAATTGGGCCAGCAGATGATAATGATGAAAGACCATATGTGTGGTTTTAATAGTTGTTAACCTCTGGAGTTAGCAGTTTTTATTTAGCCTTTTAAAAGTTACACCCTCCAACACTTCTTAAGTTTATCTTGGTTTAATATAATACTGGAAAATGAATTAGGGGAACAGTTACATATGTTTTAGTGATCTCTTAGCAGGTGGGAAACACAGAGTTTTAGGAGTTGGAAGTTTGAATCCGCTCTAGGTGAGCTCAGTTCTCCATTCTTCTAAGAAAGGGAAATTATGTTCTGGGCAGTTTTTTGTAATGGGGTTTTCAGGCTAGATCTTTAACTGAAACGTAGAGGCCCTCATCAGAAGTATATCGATGCCCTTGTTGGGTAAAGCTCTTGGTTAGAGCATCGTCCTGATACGCCAAGGTTGCAGTTCGATCCTTGGTTAGGGCATATGCAAGAAGCAACTAATAAATGCATAAATAAGTGGAACAACAAACTGATGTTTCTCTCTCTCTCTCTTAAATCAATTTTTAAAAAGAAAAGAAAGAAAGAAAAGAATTGTATTGATAGCCCTTATAGGTTCAAGGGTGGCTTCGGCAAGGAAGAGGCAAAAATCCCTGCCCCATCTGCCAGTTGAACTCCTCCACCTCCCCTCCTCAATGGCTGCATTTCAGGACTGAAGGAGCTTTGGAATTCTTAGGTGAGTGGATTGGATGAGATTTGTTTGCAAGTTGCTTTTTAAAACTAGAGTGACTATTAGCTTGGCTTTTACTCCCAAACTCTCTGAATTCCAAAGCTTTGTAACGGTCATAAGCCAGACACCAGGTACCTAAGAAGTACCTACATATGTTTAGAAGGTACTGGGGACACATTGAAGGAAACACATACAGATGGATTTTCCTTACTCCATACAAACTCAAAGAGATGTGAAACTGACTTTCTTAAAATGTGCAGCTAAACTTATAAATGTATACCTAAATATACAGCTAAACTAGCTTCATAGGTTTTCGAACTAAAAAATGACATGGAAATATACCTAGGGAGATATTTTCTAGGTTTTTGTTTTATGGGATATTTCTTAAAAATTGGTGGTCTTCGTTCTCCATCTTAGTTGATACTGCTATTTTTTTTTTTTTAAATATATCTTTATTGATTTCAGAGAGAGGAAAGGAGATGGAGAGAGAGATATAGAAACATCAATGATGAGAGTCATTGATCAGCTGCAGCCCGCAACCTGGGCATGTGCCCTGACCGGGAATCGAACCCCGATCGCCTGGATCCTAGGTCGACGCTCAACCGCTGAGCCACCCCTGCCGGGCGATACTGCTATTTTTATGTCTTCATCCTTGCTGTTGTGTCAGTTATTGTCCAGTCAGGAAAGTAGAAACCATTCTAGATACTTCAAGCAGAGATGGATTTAAATGCAAGAGGTTTGTTACAGAGGTGTTGGAAGGGCTGGAGGAGCAAAAGGAGGAGAGGAGGGGGCATGTGAAGGAGCAAGGAGGAGAGCAAGGAGGAGAAAGGGGCTCCTCCCCAAAGATCAGGAGTCTGCCTTTGGGCTGAAGTCCAGGAGCCTGCACTCACAGACAGCTGCAGACTGGGCTTCTGCTGCTGGAGCCATATTGCTGCAGTTCAGCAGGAACCCAGAAGCCAGCACTCGTCTGGGGCTACTAGAGCCTGTGGTGTGTGCAGTTGCCTACAGTCCTTCACAGTTGCTCGCTTTTGCTGCAGACAAGCCAGAAGCAGGGAAAAAGTGTTGTGTCTCTCTTCCTACCATCCAGTCTCCAGCCTTGGGCAGAGCCTAACTGGAGGCCAGCTGGCAAAGGAGTTGGGGAAATACATAGTTTGCAGGCTTTCAGTTCTGGTGATACAGAGAAGAGTATAAGAAGTGCAGGTGTGCCCAAAGAAATGGTGTCGTTGCTTGGGGATGATGAATTTGTCATAGTGGGGATGGGCAGAGAAGGCATTATTTTAAACTGATGACACTCACACAGGTGGAGAAGATGTGGAATGGCATTCCAGGTAGAGCCTGTGCGCATGCAGGAAACAGGAATGCACAAGGGATGTGCAGAGAACAGTTTATCTGGAGCATGGAGTTCTTGTTGAAGGATAGTTGAAAGTAAGGTTGGAAAGGTAGGTTGGAGTCAAATTGGGGTGGAAGTGTTATAACAAAAACTGTAAAATTAACACAGAGCACAGTTCACAGTGATTTGGCATGGAAGAGACCTGTGAGGAAATTCACGATATTCCAAGCTTTGGAATGAAAAGGCCATGGTAGTGGAGTTGGGAGAGGAACACTCATCCAAGGTAGGCTTTTAACTGGTGGAGCTGTCAATGGATGGGGCAAGCCATTGGAATAAATACAGCTTTCTACATCAGTTGAATATATTGGTTATTTTATGATCTTTGAAGGTGTTCTCTACTTTTCATGGTTTTGCCTCTCTCTGGGCTAATGCCTGGGTGACTAAGACTCATCATGATATTGTCAGGATCTTTCTTGAAGTACTAAATTCACTTTGATCATAAACTGTATTAGTAAATCTGAAGCCTGTGTAACCTCTGCAGGAGCCTTGATAACTTGAGTCAACAAACACTTGCATTACTCGGGAACACCTTTTTAGTGTTTAGACGTGAATTCACTTAGCCCATTTAGCAGGTAATTATTGAGCCAGGTACTTTGTTTGGTGCTGAGGTTGGATGGAATGGACAATTAAACAAGAAACACATTAAAGGAAAAATATTACTCGGCTTAGAGCTTTTGCCAGTTGCTGTTTACTCTGCTTGGTGGAAGGCTCTCCTCCCAGATTCCCACATTATTGACTCCCTCACCTCTTTTTTTTGTTGGTGCCCCTTGCTAGATTGTGAGCTTGCTGAGGACAAGGATCTTTCTCTTTTGTTCATTGCTATATCCACAGTGCCTCGTGCAATGCCTTGCACAAGGGGAGGTAATTTACAAAAACTCGGTAATTTTTTGCTGAATGAGAATAAATGAACGGGGGCATCCAGAGAATGGAAGGAAGGCCACAGTGGCTAGAGTCAAGTGAGAAAAAGAATGGTAGAGATGTGATCACTTAGGGACACGTAAGAATTTGGGGTTTTAGTAGGACAGAGGGACGCTCTCAGGGGTTGTAAACGGGATTGACAGGATCAGATCTGTACTTTCAAATGCTAATTTGCTGCTCTACAGAGTATGGATTGCAAAGAGCAAGAGTAGACATAGGAAGGAACAGGAGAGGCTGTTGGGGTCCAGATGATCTAGCTTCCCTGGTGGCAGATGTGCTTGCTTTCTCAGCCATTGAATTTGAGTGTCTGTTCCAAGGGCAGGAATTGATTGTTATCAGTCTAGTTATAATTGCGTGTGCCTAGGTTATCATTAGCCCCAAGAGACCTACCTGTCTCCTTGAAGAACATCATTGTTTAGTGATCCTGTTGACGGATGAAAGCTGTCAAGATAGCTTGGCTGTGAAATGCCATTTAACTAGTTTGTATCTGTGTGTGCCTCCCTGCCTCCTGCAAGGTTTAATGACCTAGTTAGGGAGAAAGCCCAGGCCTCTTGGCTGCTCTCCAGGTGTTCTACCACTAAAATGTTAATATTACCTTTCTCAGGCTTCTTCTGAATCATTTGCTGGCACTGTAAGTGGCTTTTTAAACTTTGATTTTGCCACTTTTGAGACTGTTTGTACTAGTACTTTTTGCTGTCAGAATTTGAGTTGCTTTGGTTACTTGAAGAAGTCTTTTTCACTGGCCGTCGCTTTTTAAAATGGAGTGAGGAGGCTGTGATAGGTAGGAATGGTTCCCGAATGGTTCCACCTCCTGACATGTTAGTTGGCAAAGTTAGAGGCAGCCTTAATAAAGGTCACTTTGGAAGAATATTAGTGGGGTACTTAGCATTCTTGGCATTCTTGTGGAATGATACAGGTTTATGGCCTTTTTATTAAGTTCTTAAAATCGAATGTCTTTAATTAGAAGCAAGCACATATAAAACTTTGTGACTCCAGACAACACTGGTCTTACTGTACTAGATTATAGAGTGAGGTTTGCGCCTGTAGGAATACGGATTTTGGAGGGGAATGGAGAAGGGGTGTGAGACGGCTGTATCAAACACATCTACCTCCGTCCTTGCCTTCTGCTCGCTGCAGCCCTAACAGTGTGGAATGTGGACATACAGCTTTTAAGCTCGGTTGCCTTTTGATTGCTCCTGACTAGGCTTTTAGCTTTCATGATTCAACTGGTTGAGCTGAGCTTTCTGTTAAATAGTCAATCTGGAAAATGGAGTTCAGTAGCCTAAGCTTTTTGAACTCATGTAATTATAAGACTTGACAAGCTATGGTACATAGATTTTAATCTTTGAAATGGCCCACTCTTATGTTTTAAACAAGACGGTGGAGGAATATATAGATTCAAGGATCGACAAGCTATTACACCACTGCTCCCAAAAAGAAAAAACAACAGCGAGAGGAGAGCCCTATCTGTTCTGTTGCATTCGGTTCTTCACTGGGCAGAAGGGGCTCGGGAGAGTGTGTATATCGTTGTTGCATTCGGTTCTTCACTGGGCAGAAGGGGCTCGGGAGAGTGTGTATATCGTTGTTGCATTCGGTTCTTCACTGGGCAGAAGGGGCTCGGGAGAGTGTGTATATCGTTGTTGCATTCGGTTCTTCACTGGGCAGAAGGGGCTCGGGAGAGTGTGTATATCGTTGTTGCATTCGGTTCTTCACTGGGCAGAAGGGGCTCGGGAGAGTGTGTATATCGTTGTTGCATTCGGTTCTTCACTGGGCAGAAGGGGCTCGGGAGAGTGTGTATATCGTTGTTGCATTCGGTTCTTCACTGGGCAGAAGGGGCTCGGGAGAGTGTGTATATCGTTGTTGCATTCGGTTCTTCACTGGGCAGAAGGGGCTCGGGAGAGTGTGTATATCGTTTCTTCATCTTAGTGTGTAACCCCGGATGTCCTTAATGAAGAAGACTGAAGGGGTGGTATGTTTGATACCATTTTGGTATAAATAAATTATATAAGTTTACGTGGTGACACCCATGCTCTTGAGGGTAACCAGAGGGATCGTCCTGTTAAGGACAGCAAAATTGAGCCCACTAGGCTTCCTTACATAGGCGGTTTCCTGAGCAGAAAGTTGAAATAACAGGTGGATGCAAGAATAGGTGAGTGGGCTGGGGAGTTGGGAAGGTATGTGTAGAAGTAAAGGATCTGGGTTGAATAACTGTTCGTCACCAAATTTTCTTTTTCCTGCCGACTATAGCAGTCGCATTAGCCATGTTAGAAAAGTTTTCATTTAAGATTTTAACATATTTGAGGCTGTGGGTAGTCAAAGTAAGTTTGCTGATTTCTAACTCACACTAGAAGGAATGGAATAGAAAAGTAGACCATGCCCTGGTTTGATAATGGTGGTCTGCTTTTGTTGTTGTTGTTAATCATCACTTGGGGATATTTTTTCCACTGTTTGGTTTTTGGTTTTTTTTAGAGAGAGTGGAAGGGAGGGGTGGGGGTAGGAGAGAGAGGGAGAAACATCAATGTGAGAGAGACACATCGATTGGTTGCCTCCTGCACACGCCCCAGCCGGGGCCAGGGATTGAACCTGCAACCAAGGTATGTGCCCTTGACCAGGAATTGAATTCGCAGTCATTTGGTTTGTGGGCCCATGCTCTAACCACTGACCCACACTGGTGAAGGTGTGGTCTACTTTCCTATTT